AAAAAAACTTTTGCACTTCATAAGTCTGCAAAGAAAAAAAACTTTTTCCTGGAATTTTTTTTAAAAGAAAGCTCTTGATGAGCTCTATTTAATCGTCTAAAAACTGCAAATTTACCCGAATAAGTGAAACGTTTTCTAGAAGCACTGACTGGTAGTAAAAGTTAGTAAAGGATAAAAAATATCATGTCGTTTGTCAGTTTTAATAAAATTATACAATAATCATATTTAGTGAGGTACAGCTAATAACTAATAGTAACCTACTAACAGTGAAAATCACGTTCACTTGATAAAATTTATAGAAAATAATGATAAAAATATCAAAAATAGTAAGAGGTTACAGCGCTAATTATAAATGGCCATATATATGGCTATAATGCTATATATATTTTTTATTGACAACAAGTTAACAATGTTAATACACAGCACAAAGTAAAAGAATAAAAAAATAAGTCAGTCGAGTAACAGAACAAATTACAATAAAAATAAAAAGTATTGAAGGATAAAAAACCTGTCAGTTGCCACACAAATTTAATATTGTTTGCCACAAATTTCAATGCGATATTGTTCAAAAAGCTTACGTAAAAATTCATCTAAATTACATTTCGTTACAATGCTCTTGCAAGTATACAAGTATTTCTTTTGCAGTAAAACCAATAGACCAAGTTTGCTTTGAGTTGAATTCGGCATTTGCATTGGAAGGGAGTCATCGAACGTGTTAAATAAAATTTGCTTGTTTGAAAGTTGTACGTTCTCTTTATGATATTCATTAATTACCGCCTTAACGTTTTGGAAAAGAATTCCTTTGACTCTTGACAATATAAAAAGGTGTGTCCATTTGAATCTGGATTAAAGCAGAAAGGACATTTGTCATCAGCTAATTTATATTTCAGTAGTTTTTTCTTGTCGTGATTATTCTGTACACAACCTTAAAAGTGAATTGTCTAAGCTTATTATCTTTCGAGGGCTTACATATACAGCTGTTTCGAGAAAGGTTGTCGGGAAAAGTGCACTCGACAGTCCTGAAAGGCATTGTGGGTGGTTTTGAGTTCTCTTTTTTTCAAAGAAATTTGAAAGAATTGGTACGAAAGGCCATGGAAATGTGTTTGCGAGTGCTAAAGGAAAGCAACAGAAGTAGGTTCGACAGCTACAGTCGTCAGGAACAGTGTATTGATCATATCCCATATTACCTTTCGGGATTGTCGCGTGCACATTTTTTCCGACAACCTTTCTCGAAATAGCTCTGTTCACAAAACAATCACCCCAATCAGGAAGTTCTGAAAAGCTTTTTTTCCAAGCCTTTACTGCGGAGGGTTCTGAAACAAGTTTCTCGATGAACAAACTGTAACAATTTTTACAGCGGAATTTGGCTCAGACTATTGTTCTATCTTCCACTGTATCTTATCTTAAACTGTATCTTGTAAAGTAAAGTATTACTAAGACTGAACCCGTGACACGTTATTTAATGCACTCCCCTGAGTGGCTATTTTTAGTTTACACGGTCAAGTCTTCAACGTTTGCATATAGCTGTTGGTCATACAATTTCATGTTTATTAGCCCCTGAAAAGAAAAAAATACATATCATCATTTAAGAAGCCATATCAGCAGCCTTCCTACGCAGAGGTCTGTTTAGCTCAGTGGAAAGGTTTGGTTGCGCAATTGCTTTTAGACAGTAAAATACTAATAGTAATATATAGATTTAGCCAGGGCTAAAAGCGAAGCTCTGGTTAATAATACGTGTAAACAAAAAAAATTAAATCGTGTAACGCTAAACGGGGGACGACAATGAAAATGGCTTCAAGACTAATAGATCTAATTAGCAAAAAAACAAATTGCACGTGCAGCACACTTTTTCTTCTAATTAGCGAAAAGCAAATTTGCACGTGCAGCACGCGTTTTTGTCTTTCCCTTGCTGTTGTTTTGCACGACTACAATGCTGTTTTGTACGACTAAAGCGTCAAACTTCCTAGTTACACACTATTTTTATGGAGAAATTGTCGTATGTGCTTACCCAATATTTTGTTTCCAGTGTTCATGTTCGCTTTTATTTTTCCCTACCGCTCATTTTCACCTTGCTGGCCGCTAGCATTTCTCATTTTCTCACCGCCGCTTTAAATTTCCATGTTTTTCTTCCAACGAATTTTCAATAACTCGCTCTAGCTCTTTCTCTGTTATCCACGTTAGTGTACACATATAAAATAACGCCGAAAAAGACACGACTTTTTTCTTTCTAAAAGTCCGGGCGGCCATGTGATTTCCTTCCAAATAAAACCTTGAGTTGCATTTGGGTTCCCATACCTGAGCTGTTGATTGAGTTATTTTACATTGGTATGTCTGTGGTGCGGACGGACGGTCGCTCGCACGCTCGCTCGCTCGGTGTACGGTCACGTGATTACCAAATTTTCTGGGATGGGTAGATTACCACATTTCCTTAGCTATGGGGCTCCGCCCACGCGCGCGCTTCGCGCACGGGTGGAGCTCCGCTAATAACAACGATGATGATGATAATGATAATGATAATGACAATAATAATGATAATAAGAAGAAAAAGAATAAGAAGAATATTTTTATAAATAAACACGTAGAGGAAGCTATTGTCGTCCATTGATCTCTTACTATCAGCATGTTCGCGCAACTTAACAACACAATCACTCCAATTAACAATAACTACAGTAGTTTTTCATGTAAGGTATAAAAAACAAGCATGGAGAAAGGTCGCAGTTGGCTGCCAAAGTACCATAACAGAACCCAGGTTAACCTAGGCATGCAGCTCCAAACAATTTCAGTAATGAAATTTTTAAAAAAAATTGAAGGAGGACCGCTGAGGGAGACTCAGAGTTGCCCAGGTTTCGTGTTTTTATCGTACCTTATGTTGGTTCTCCATCTTTTTCAGCTTCACCCTCAGTTCAGAAAAAGAAGGTCTTGCACTAGGATCTTCCAGCCAGCAAAGTGTCATTATTTTGTACCTATCACAAAATCAAATTGCTTTGTAAGCGACATTTCCTTTGATCCTTACTATGCTGACCGAAAGGAAAGAACTTCCTGAAAAGTAGTCCTCAATTTAATTTTCGGTTGAAATTTATGATAGGTGGCTTTCATTTTAATGTGAAGGAGTAGAACTAGTCCGATATTTTTACATTCTTGATTTTTGAGTTAATGGTCAGCACCGTTGTTTTACCTCGAAGTAATACAAAGTAATTGATATAAGTAAAGTACGCTTTAAATATAGTGATCCTTAGTGCAAGGACCTGTTTCTTTATCTGCGAAACAAGACCAGTTGAAAGTGTTCCCTGTAAAATAAACGTTCGATTCGAGTGTTTCGTCTGCCAAAGCTACATATCCATGATATATACAGGAGGGATTTTTTTTATTTGAGTGACTTAAATAGTTTTTTTTCAATCTCAAAATCCTCTAAATTTAAGTGCAACACGTCATCAATCAATCAAACAATCAATTTATTAATGTAATAGCGTGGGATAAGGTTCCTGAGTATCCAAGCGGTATAAAACGCATGACAAAAATAGTTATTAATAATAATACAATACATGAAAATAATAATGGTGTCAAAGCTTACAAATATATAAACTATAATAAACACTTATATATCCGGGAATGTAAGAAGTACTTAAGTTACACCCTCCTGCTCCCACCATTTACTTAATTAAAGACTATGGAAATCTAATCGGTAAAATACGATATCGATTATGAATATATAAATAAGCTAAAAATCCCTGAGAAATACAATAATAACATTTGCAACTGGCCTTAGTTTATGAAATTAAATGATCTCAAATTCTTGCAAAATTCACGCGGCCCTCAGACGATAGCTTGACGTAGGAAGGTAGCTGATTCCACAAATGCGAAGCCTTGTAAGTGAAAGTATTGTGATGATATCGATTATTATGGGATGCTGTGAAAGGTTTGAACCCAGGAGTCATTTCAAAAGTAGGTTGAGTTTGATCGTCCAGGTGAACGTAGTCCTTAATAGGACTGTTGTTGTTGACAGTGACTGACGTTTCGACAACCTGTGCGGTAGTCATCTTCAGAGTCAAAGTGAGTTGTATCACGTCAGTTGATGGTATTNAAAATACGATATCGATTATGAATATATAAATAAGCTAAAAATCCCTGAGAAATACAATAATAACATTTGCAACTGGCCTTAGTTTATGAAATTAAATGATCTCAAATTCTTGCAAAATTCACGCGGCCCTCAGACGATAGCTTGACGTAGGAAGGTAGCTGATTCCACAAATGCGAAGCCTTGTAAGTGAAAGTATTGTGATGATATCGATTATTATGGGATGCTGTGAAAGGTTTGAACCCAGGAGTCATTTCAAAAGTAGGTTGAGTTTGATCGTCCAGGTGAACGTAGTCCTTAATAGGACTGTTGTTGTTGACAGTGACTGACGTTTCGACAACCTGTGCGGTAGTCATCTTCAGAGTCAAAGTGAGTTGTATCACGTCAGTTGATGGTATTATACTCTGGTTATTGATCTGATTGGTCAATTACGTCGTGATGTTATTGGTCATCTGTCAGTTAAGCCGTGATGTTATTGGCTATGAAGACTCGTAATCAGTAATTGGTGCGCTTCGATCCGTCTATTGCCAAAGTTAAACAGTCGTCTATTGTTAGTCAAATTGTCATTCTCTCGTGGTTAGTTTTGCTTTATCTCGTCAATAAGTCGTTTTGTACGGCGCTGCGTAAGTGAGGTGTCAGCAGGCACCAGCTTTCTAAACCGTCTCAGAGCTCCAATCTTGGCATAGACCCTCTAAAATAGTTGAGAGGTGGTCTTTGAAGGACAGCTTATCGTCGATATGAAGACCAAGAATCTTCAAGTCATTTCAAGACGACACAAGAATGACTTTATCACCTTTCGTCTTATAAAGTACAGGGAGGCCACTGCTTTCTACTCTTTACGAATTTACCTCTGATAGTTAAGTTATTATCATTTCGGGGTAGAACATTACGAAAGCCATGAAACTGACACAAAAATAATTACTTACAGTTCATGATCCACATGTTTTGGTTTAGGCATCCTGTATCCCTCCTGAAGTAAACTTACAATCTTCCTGCCATCCATTCGTGGATAAGGAGAACCTCCTGAAAAGAACCAAGACCAGCTGTTGTTGATATGACAACATTTTGGAACACTTTGTTATATTGTTGTGTAATTGGAAGGAACGAGATTTAACAATTTAATCATTCACCCTGCACTTTGGCAGCAAGAATTTATTAAGGTAACTATTTAGAACTTAATGTTACTGCCAGCTGACTCGATAACACAAGTAATATGAGTCAAACAAGTTGTGTCAGACAGCTGGAACTTCCGATCATGCTTTAAGTATGATATTCAACAATTATTCCACGAGTGTGTGTTGGATACAAGATGGCTATAATCATCTCATATCCAACAAGCGCGAGTGGGACAATTGTTTTATTAAAAACGCCCACAAAATGGAGAATTCTTTCCGACTTTGTTTGTAAAAAACAACGATTTTCAACTTGCTTTAATTTTAAGCAAATGCGTTCCGTTACCATATTTGGAGAGCATGTTATATTCCTAGACTTTCACTCAACTAAACAGGGACTTCCATTGGTTGATTCTTGGTCACATGGCCTTGACTAAAATCAAATGAATAACGTTCGTGATACATTTGAGCAATTGTACCCCGCTCGGGATACATTACAGCACTTGATCAAAGCATGGTGGAAAGTGGCCTGACATAAGGCGTGGAAAACACTGCCAGTTTACACTCCCGGGGATGAACACAACAAGAGTCCAAAACACTATCATGAAGCCTCAAGCTACATATAAAAGCAACGATTTTCAAAGTTTTCCCAGATGAGAAACAGCAGCTAGTGGAGGAAAAAGATGCAGATACTATACGGAAAGTACTTTATAAATCATTCATTCAGTAGTTTTAAGAATTAAGTTTGTGTCCTCATAAGTACTGAGTCGACTGTTTTGATTCGCTCCGGTTATTCTTTTGTCGCTGTTGAAGTGAAAGTCTAGAAATATAACAAAAACACTTAGTGTCAGGTCCCTCCGGAAACCAGTTATCCAGTTAGTTTTGTTTTCCTTCGAGTCCTGGTGTGGACTCTCGGGAAAACAAAACTAACTGTTTCCCTCGAGATCTGAGAGTAAGTGTGTAATATATCATGATGGCCAAGCCAATCAGAGCTCTAGAATTGCATTATCCGATGATTCAGTTTTTAATAAAACTTGATATTTTCCTCCGTTCAGAATATTTTATGCGTTTTTTAGCTAAAAAAAAAATAAAGACTTCAGAAGGTTTTATGGCACCTTACCAATTGTAAAAATCTCGTAAAGCAAGACCCCATAGCTCCACCTATGACAACAAAACAAAAAAAGCCGGACATATCTGCATTTAAATATTGGTTTAATTTTAGTTTTTTAATATACCGTTAAATCTACTTCTAATTTTTATTTGTGCTAAACCAATTACATAATAGTAATAACAATAATAATAATAATAATAATAATAATAATAATAATAATAATAACAACAACAATAATAATAATTAAGCAAATTATAATTATCATAAAAATTACACCAGAATCCTTTGAGGCATTTTTTAAAAGAGCTTTATAACTTTGACAATTTTACGTGAAGAAGAATGACAGACCACAAGAAGATAACCTTTGCCATAAAATATCTTCCCACGTTTCCTCTAGGGTAATGACTTCATCAGTCACGTGACCGAATTAGGTTTTTTTTCGCTGCTGTCTAGTTAAAAACAAATAGCATATATTTGAGGTTTTGGCTGGAAGGCCATTTAAAAATAGTTAGTTGACGTCCGGTAATTAAAATTTAAGAGGGCAATGAACATAAGCGAAAACGTTGGGAGACAAGGCCGAGGAAAGCTTGCGAAAACAGCCGTTTCTCCTCGCTCCTCGCCGCTGGGGACGTTTCGCGAGGAGGAACGTCTGCGATTCAGTGACAGAAATTCCATATTGGTGACGTAAAATCTGTCCAAATCAATCCAAAAACTCAGCATTTTACCCTGATTTTGTGCTTTTCGAAATCGGGCAAGTCAATCAATCAATCAATCAACTTTATTGGTAGATCCAATTAAAATGGGTTTTCACATACCAATGACAATAAAATCTAATATGAACAATAGGAATCTAAAATAAACATTTGAAAGTGATAAAACATTACCATATTATTTAAAAGATATAAAATATGCATAATTACACCTATTGAGTGTCAATGGCTTAAAAACTCGTCAAGTGCACGTCCTTTAATCGCATTCTTAAAAACATTAAATGGCTCCATGAGTCAAGTCTACTTGGTTTCAGCCAATTGTAGAGTGGATGTTAAAAATAGTGTTTGGTTTGATACGGGTTCATCTAACCTGAATCATAGCTAAAATCCGGTGCTTGTAATATAGTTCGTTTTCCACCTAAGGTTCTTGACCCACTCCGCCCACCAGTATGATGTCGCATAGTAACGGGCAAGAGCCTCGGGTCGCTTGTCCAAGTTAGCAAGGGATACGACAGTTATTTGGACGAGCGAGGTCGAGGAAAAGCTAGGAAGCTAGCAAATATCGCTATATATCGCTTATTTGATCGAATGTGTGTGAGCTTTGGTGTTGCTATAATCTGCTTGTGTAAACCATTTTGATATTTTGTGTCCGTGATTGTATAATTTTGTTAATTTGTTTTGCGGGCCGTGTTGCGGGATCGCCATCTATTTTACGGGAACGGCAAAGTCATCAAAACTTAAACCTTTTTTTTTCTCTGAAATAGGCAAGGTCTTGTCTCCAGAATAGGGGGTTCCATTCACAGATCACACATGTTTATATTTCATCTATTCTTTTGCTGATTAAACGGGCCTAACTTCATGTCGTTCCTTTCGAGTGTGGGCCTCGGTTGATCTCCTAATTCACCACCAAATTTAGTAAAGCTAGTTCGATCGATTATCTACATCGAGTCGGCCCGTTGAACCCGAAATAATACGAAATAGCTTTGAAATACGCGCTTGAGCTAATTTTCCTCAAATGTATATTTGAATTTAACATTGTCTATGGCAGACAAAAATTGTTTTGATATGACAAAGTTAATTTTTCAAATCAAGTGTGTCACTGTGGTGCAGCGGTCAAGGAGTTGCTTGCACGTGCAGATAAAGTGGGTTCGACTCCCGGCGACGCTGTTTTCTGTTTCTTTGTACCGTTTTTTTTCTCTGTTTGGTCTCATTTTTTTCAACACTATTTGTCCTTTTGGCCTTTTTTTCTTTATTCTTAGTGCTGACCCTGCTGGTCACGCACTTGGATCAATATGGTCCAATATATATTTTAAGCTTAAGTCCGGACTTTTATTTTGGAAAAGGGATTTTAAAAGCTCTTGATCTGCATACTGGCCAAGCTTACGACCAAGAAAAAACCATAAGTTGTCAAGGCATGTCCCTCCTCTGAAAGAGCTGAATTTTTTTCAGTGTTAGTTGACATCATGAAAAACAACACACAGTACATCACAAACTGTACTAATTTACACCGAACACCCACCAGTGACCTACTGGCCAAAGTTAAACTTGCCTTTTGTACATCGTCTTAATCATCAATATTATTAATGTAAAATCTCCACTAGGTTTGTCCCAAAAATATAATTAAAAGAAACTTTTTATTGGATTTCGGGATTTAATTACAGAATTACAGGTGTATGCCCAATACAGTATTAAAATGCGGTAAAGCAACAAGATTCAATGCTCACAGTCTCTCACAAATACCTGTCATTAGCTCCCTCTTTCAACGCTACAGCTGAGCGAACTTTGAGAGGATTGATATGGGGTTCCACTAGCTCTGAAGAGCTGAAAATACGCACAATGTAAAGTATAATACATCCTTTGATGAACCTCCTATTGCTGTGTCTAAACTCCTGAATCTTGCTGTGCACTGGCCCTCAAAAGTGTGACCGATCGGTATGATTGCCCGTAAAATTTGCTTGAAATTCATTACACCACTGGACATTTCATTTCAAAAAAGTACTTAAGTCTAGTTTTCTATGACAATAGAAACCATAAAACCTCCAAATCCACGAAATCGGAACAGTATTTCCGTGACAAAATCGAAATGTTTATCCGTCTCCTCGATGAACACTTTGCTCGCCATTTTGAGTCACTGACGCGACACGTGACGTCATACTGGCAGGCGGACTGTGCCACAAATTTCCTCCGAGAAACCTCCCCCCCCCCGAGTTTGATCAACCTAATTCGTGTCTGACGCCATTTTTAAAGGTTATCATTAGCACACCGAGGACATATTGCCAAAAGGTTAGGCCAAAATGGAGAAAAAACGAATGAAATTGAATCATACGATAAACAACTTCATATAAGGAACATAAAGTGTCATTTGACAAAATATGGAGCCTTCTTTGGGACAAAATGTACACCTTATTTGAAAGTGCGCGTAAAAGGAGTCAAAGGGTTAAAGTGCAACTATTTAGCAAATGCATGTTGCTCCTTGCGTTTAACAACTGGGGGCAATCCTACTTTAGCAAATCTTGCTTAAGTAGCTCAAAAAGAAAACAAAACTAGCGTTCTCTACCTGTGGTCGTCTTAGAAAAGAAATATTGCATGGGAGTCATTCTTTGCGAATCCTATGCAAAGTGTTTTAATCTGATGTTATACAAACATTATACACGGATCTAGGTATTTCAACTTCTTCAGCACAGACACTTGAGATCTTGCAGTCTATCTCAGAGGTTTTCGTGAACTTTCGTACCAAACAAGACGATGGTTGAAATGCACAGAAATTGATGGAGTATAATCTTTTAGTATAATCTTCTTCGATTTAAGGTCAGGGGCACCCAACGACTGTTTTCTTTAGAATATCTGTTCTGAGAAGAAAATATTGCCTAGAATTTTGCAATACCTTTTTTTGTCAATGCAAAAATTCTACCTTTACAGTATCTATATCATGAATCCGTTTGTAGTCTTATGTATGATGTAAATAAAACACTGCTCCGGATAATATTTTGAAACTCTTCTCTCGAATTTCTATTGTTCATACTTACAACACACGTGCCTCAACCTCAATGTCAAACGAAATGCTTTTTCGCGTGTTGGGGTCAAAATTTGGAATGGGATACCTCAAATTCTTAAAGAAAGACCGAAAAAAGCTTTTAAAAGATNTGCAAAAATTCTACCTTTACAGTATCTATATCATGAATCCGTTTGTAGTCTTATGTATGATGTAAATAAAACACTGCTCCGGATAATATTTTGAAACTCTTCTCTCGAATTTCTATTGTTCATACTTACAACACACGTGCCTCAACCTCAATGTCAAACGAAATGCTTTTTCGCGTGTTGGGGTCAAAATTTGGAATGGGATACCTCAAATTCTTAAAGAAAGACCGAAAAAAGCTTTTAAAAGATCACTAAAAGAAATGCTACTCGATATCCTTGAAACTGAAGACTCCTATATTAATGTGGATACGATCATTGTGAAAATGAAAAATTAATTCTCTTGTCCTTTATTTTCATTTTATTTCATTTTTAAAATTTTACTTTAATATTGTCCTTGCATTTAAGTAGAATAGTATCTATTTAATGTAAAATATATATACTTATATAACGTCTAATTTCTTTGTATTTGTCTAGTTTGTAGTAAATTACGTAGCCTGGCCTGCCTCAAATAGCCTCACTAACTGCAGGCCAGTCTTAATGTATCTTTTGTTATATTTCCAAATTTAAATAAAGTTGAAGTTGAAGTTGAAATTACTTGAGGACGACTAAAAATCTCTAGATGACCGTCCCATTTATTTACAACTTTCGAAGCTTACGTTCCTGAAGTTAATTTTCACATTTTTACATTTTACACAATTACACATTTTACTTCCCAAGTGAGGCTATCTTTCGTAGAAAAAAGGGAACTTCAAACGTTTGGATTCAAAAATGTGATGGAGAGAGGAATCAGAAAAAGTCTCACCTTTGTAATACGTCAAATTTCATCTAAAATGTTCGGAAAAATAATACCCAAGCCCTTGAAATTTCGGAAGGACTCAAGTTACCCAAGGATGACCGAACACATAAAAATTTTATACCGCCACTTAAAATGCATTTTATAATATGTAAATGTACTCTAGATAGCCTAGAAAGTATTTTCAATGTATTTAGGAGGAAACTATCGTTGGTTGCCCCTGTTAAGATGGAGTGTAAAGTTACACTGTGATGACCAGATCAACAACAAAATCTGTATCTCCGCCTGGAGTGATAACTCTAGAGCTCATACAGTTTACAGTTACTATAATTCGTAGTTTCGTCCGCATATTGATTACCTTACTTTGGTTGGAAGTACTTCCCTCAAGTTCATGACATATAGGTAGAATAACACAGGACCAAAAATAGATCCCTGAGGTACCCAAAACACCACACAAAAAATTTATGTGTTCAGACGAGCGATCATTAATTTAAACGTTCTGCTTTCGATCAGTCGGAAGTTGAAAGGTCTAGTAGTCCCTTTCCTCCATGACACGCGCGATGACTATGAGCTTTTGCTCTGCGGACGTTAAATCATTTATTTGTATTAAAAAGTGGAAAGAAAAGCCTACACTTACACGTCGCTTTGGGTAGTATATCTTCCGTAAAGAAGAGCTTCATATGCGGTCCATTTTACTGGCAAACGACCCTTACAAAGACAAAAAACGAAAGTAATACAGATACAAATTGGACGAAGAATATTGGATAGTCAGCATGTGCGAATGTAAGTCGAGAAATGACAAATATATGCACTTTCTCACTAAAGCATCAAAGCAAAGACAAAAAATAAAATCTCGAAACGATGTTTCGAACGTTATGATCACTGTTTTGTTTTATAACAAACTCCGACTTGTAAATTTATCCCAGACTCGATACATTGAGCGAGTTAGTAAGCCGAGCAACCATGTCTCTCATTAATTCTCAGTAAAAACTAATGTCGGAGGCAGCAACAAAATATGTCTTTATAAGCACCAAACCCAAGCACGAGAACCCCTAAAAACAGAAGGTGGAAAACAACGGAGAGAACATGCCTCAACCTGCTATTGCAATAATAAAGCCCAAGACTCACTGCAGCCTTGAGCAACTCTATCAATTTCTCTACTATTACAGGCAAGAGAGGATAAATTAAAGGGGCTCTCTTGTTGCAGGCTAAATTCTAACTTAGGTGAAAGCAGGATTACCACGTGTTTCATCAACGTTACAGATACTGGCTCCTATCTAAAGGGCTAAAAAAAAAAACACAAACAAACAAACAAAAAAATCAGCATATTTGCAATATTTGGTTTGGGGTGCAACTCCTTTCAAGACTTTCGACCAAGAAACTGATGACATAAACCAAGTTTTTCGTAGTGTCTATTATAGTGGTTCTGCATTATGTATATTTTTCCCATGCTTTACACACCTTCGTTTTCCTTTCATATACGTTTTCCTGTTGCACATCTCTTGCCATTCCAAAGTCAGTCACTTTACAAGTCTCTCCTTCTCCAACCAGAACGTTTCGAGCGGCAAGGTCTCTGTGAATAATCTGTGACAGATTTCATTAGATCTACATCGTCATGGACAGGAGAGGATTCTAAAGGTCCTTCTTTTTTGAAATACAATTAATGCATAAATTAATATTTTAAGAGAGGTTAAACATGACACGCGTTACGTTATTCAAGGATATTCATGCAATTGAAAGAAAAGGTGCTGACGCCTTTTTCGTCTGTTGATTAATTTGCAAAATGTCACAATCAGAACCAGAGACAAAAAGAAAATAGTTCAACTTACAGATCTCGAAGAGAGGTAACTCATTCCATCAGCAATTTCCCGAGCAAATTTCATCAGCTGTTGTGACGTCAAACTCGTTTGTGGTTTGATATCTGGGTCTTTGTAATAAGTGTCATTTAATCCACGGCTCTTTCTCAGGTAACCAAGGAGATCTCCATACGGGACATACTCAATCAATACCAATAAGGGATCTACGTGAAATTGAAACTTACTAGGCTCATATCTTACAGATGATCATGATAACAGTATATCAAGCGTATAATAAGAAACGTCTGTCAATTCAATCAGTATATATTTTTGTAACAAGAACAAACAGCATTTATTTTATACAGGGTTGACAAACAAGGGTTAAAGATAGGCGCTGATGTTTTTGCAAATAATTTACCATATTCGGTGACGCATCCCAGCAGCTTGATGACGTGTGGATGAGGCTTTAACGTCTTCATCACTTCAAGCTCTGATAACAAATCCTTCCTGTCAGTCCCGGGCGCGTNTTCATCAGCTGTTGTGACGTCAAACTTGTTTGTGGTTTGATATCTGGGTCTTTGTAATAAGTGTCATTTAATCCACGGCTCTTTCTCAGGTAACCAAGGAGATCTCCATACGGGACATACTCAATCAATACCAATAAGGGATCTACGTGAAATTGAAACTTACTAGGCTCATATCTTACAGATGATCATGATAACAGTATATCAAGCGTATAATAAGAAACGTCTGTCAATTCAATCAGTATATATTTTTGTAACAAGAACAAACAGCATTTATTTTATACAGGGTTGACAAACAAGGGTTAAAGATAGGCGCTGATGTTTTTGCAAATAATTTACCATATTCGGTGACGCATCCCAGCAGCTTGATGACGTGTGGATGAGGCTTTAACGTCTTCATCACTTCAAGCTCTGATAACAAATCCTTCCTGTCAGTCCCGGGCGCGTTTGCTGCAAGAGATGTGAGCTACGTTTGTAGAATTTACTTAGTTTATGCACTTTAACTTGAGCTAAATGTGCATTTTCTCAAGGATTTTCTATATTGTTGTTCAACTGGATTTTTTCATATTACATTATGCAGAATAATCAACGATACGAATTTTTAATGCATTTTCAGCCATTTCAGGGTAAATAAATTTCCCATTTTTCCAAAAGAGCATACAGCACCCCAACCCCTAATTCCCCCCCCCCCCCACCCTCTACAGCACACACACACACACCACTCTTACGTAGGCTCTCCCTTCAACGCGTTCGCATTAACCAAAAACCACAAAAATGCTTCACGCATAGAAAAGCAAACGTAATTACAAGGACCTTGGAAATGACGTGAGAAACTGTGGCCTACCACCGGCCAAAGTTTGTCTGTGCCCCTTGCACACTGTGATGACTGTTAATTGTCAGGAATTACTTCTTCTAATGAGTTATAGCATCCTTTAGTTGTGGGGACAACATTGGCTTTCTAACTGATTACTAAGAATTTTCGTTACTTCGACTCATACCTTTAAGCATTTTAATGGCCACAAGGGTCTCTTGGGGTCTTCCATGGACGCTCATGACTGTTCCCTTGGCAACTTGACCAAAAGAACCCTGTCCAATTATCTTTTCAATAGTCACGTTTTCTCGGGAAATCTCGAACGAAAGAGTCGATAGATTCAAGGGTGCGTACTGACCGAGTTCTGAGGCGTCTTTTGTCAATTGGCTTTCTGCTGGATCGTTTGAACGTCGTGCTGCATCCAGAGCCATATATTGGACTGGAGAAGAAACATCAGATATATTGTCTCTTGAAGATGTGTGGCCTGACTGAAAATCTTTCATTTCCATTGCGGGCTAATTAAAGATAAAAGCCGGGACGAATTATTTGCGTATTCTTTAGTGAAAATAGCAAGCCTTTTGAACTAAATAAATGGACTAAAAAAGCACTTCCTACGTACGCTGTTTCTTTCTTCCTTGACGTTCATCTCCTTCAATGACCTAAAAGAAACACTACAGCAATAGGTTGTACTCATCTATCGACCCCAGAATAATCGTATACAATCGATTATTAAAAGAACATCCCTATAAATCATAAATCGTGAACGAACGGATTTTATCGCTTCCGGGAGTAGTTAAAGAAACAGCATGCCAAAAATTTACTCTTGGGATTTGCGTTCACGAGATCCAATGATTTGCTATTGTCGCGGAAATCAATCGGATAAGCATTTTTATTCTGTCAATGAGGCTAGCTCCATGGAGAGATTACTGACGAATCATGCGGAAATTGATACTCGTAAAAAAATTCCCCTTAAGAACGGTAAAAAGGGACAGCACGTCATAGGCCTACCTTTTTTATTTGTTTGTTTATTTACTTATTTATTACAAGCAACTTTACAGACCACTACATAGATTATCAATGAGCACAAGTACCTACTTATCAAGACTTCACACATATAAATGCCCCCCACACCCACATACATTTTTCAGTTACACCG